TATATATATATATATATATATATATATATTTATGTGTGTATATATCGTTTTATAATCTCTTAGAAAAAGCACGCGGCAGCCAATGGTGGCCGATTATCAACCAACCAGCCATTACTTACGCGTGTGTTACTCATTCGTGTAACAGAGAGATGAACCACGTGCGCGGCGTATGTTCGCACGCACTCGCGCGTCTACTCGGTTATATCGTAATAGGAGGATTACGTAATCAAAAAGTTAGGAGTTTGTTGGATGTACCGTCGATGATTCCAGCGTAGCGTGACTTCACCCCGTCGTAGAGGCCCAACCGTATGCTGGCGAAACACATCTGTCTCTGGAGTCCCGCGGACAGACCTCCGTACAGGCTCCTGTAACCACCCTCGCTCAAGCTCACCGCGCTCACAATTTACCCTCAAATGTAGCCCAGGGTAATATATTTTTTTTTTTTTTTTTGATTTTTGTTTTGTTCGTACAAGTTTTTTTTTTTTTTTTTAAATATATTTATTCTTTTTTTCGATTTCTTTTTTTCCTCTCTTTCGCTCTCTCTTTCTCTAATTTGCTCCCCTTCGTTTAAATTCGGCATTAAAATGAGATAAAGGCACTCCGGCAAGTACCTCGGCTCGTCTCACTCTCCTTCTCTCTCCCTTGTTTCTTCTCAGTTGACAAAAGAACTATGATTTTTGTATCGCGTCAACACTAGAAATACCAGACTTTTTCCGTTCAGTACTTGAGAAAGGAGTTATCATTTTGAATGGGACAATTCATGGAGGAAACGATTCACTTTGAGCAAGAATTAGCGAATATATGCTTTTCGAGTTGAGTATGAAATGTTTTATTGATTCAATAGCTTTTATTGATTCAATAGATGACCAGACTGGTCTTCCTAGTGTGTTAAAATTTACATATTTCTCTGTGGAAGGGAAGCCAATAGAGTCTCTCATCAAAAACATTTGACGAGCACGAGAGAAAAGATCAGCTAAAAGAATCGGAAGAGAGCTTGCGCTGAGAGAGCTGGACACGGTTATGACAAATCGTATTCGCGGTGGAAGCGCAACCATGCGAGGCGCCGATCTGCTTTCTTTTTTTTTTTTTTTATTTTTATTTTTTTCAAAAATCGTTCGAAAAGGGAAACTGCGGCTGAGCAGAGGCAAAATAAACAGGAAGCAGAGAAAAATAAGAATCGAAATAAGAAATAAGAAAAGAAAAATATTCGCATGAATGGGGGAGTTTGAGGCAGTCACGCGACGTCTTTCTTTCTTTCTGTCGAATTTCCGCCATTAAAGAACAAATTACTAGCATTATTCGGAACTATTTGAAATTAAATGAAACAATTGTAGTCATCAAATATTTGGAATAAAGTAAAATCGTTTTTATTATTTATGCAAATAAACGAAAATTGTCCTTTATTGCGATTTTCGTACAAAAGTCAGAAGGACATCTCGAGAAAGAAAATAAATAGGGTAAACGAAGCGAGTGCTATGGACGCGTTCTCTTGTCTAATAAATACAAATTAAGTACATTGTTTAGTGATCAGAGTTACACAATCAGTTCGATGAACACGAGTCGATAGCACTCTCGATAAGATTGAATTGACTCTACGTAGAAAAGAAAAAAAGAACAAGATAATTTATTTAGCATTTGGAAATGAGAGAAGGTAACTGAAACGAAATGCCAGTGCGTCAGCGGTTAATCAAACTTGCATAATCGCGATTTTCGTTACTTTCGTTATGTTATCTCGATCTTCGTTCGTCGTTGTCGACGTGTTCGATGGTACAATTTATAGATATAATTCAACATTGGACAATGTATTCTGTTCGATCGAATGCCTTATTGAGCACAGCGATTCGAACGCTGTACGATGCATTTGATTATATTTAGACCTGGCTCAAAGTGCGCAACAACGATGAACGAAGTCGATCGACCCAGCAAACAACGAGATCGAAGGAGTAATCGATTTCGCGGGGTCACGTGCAGAGAATTGACGAAATTCTCGAGACATGGAATGCCAAGAAACTATTTTAAAAGAGAGTTAATGTGCCGTCTGTTAAGTTAACGATAATTTGTAACGAAGTTACTTGGAACGAATAGCCCTACTCATCAGTCAGTATACCGAAAATTTTTTTTTTTTCTCTTCTTTTTCCTTTTTTTCAAGTAAGTTCATTCTCGAACGGGTGGTAGAAAAAATTTCCCGCCGTATACAAATACTTTGGAAGAATCGTATACACGCCAACTTGA